CTGAGAACACGAAGAGGGAGGGAAGGAAATGAGGAGGTTCCAACCCACCAGCTCCAAGGGAATCAGGCCGAGAGTGGGCCCTGGGAAGACGCAGGGACCCCGCTGCCCACCACATGGCTCCTGTCCCCCCGCCCCCACCTTCCCCTCATACGTGACTGTCACCCTGTGTTTTGAGTCAAGAAGCTGCAGCTGGGTGACCACGACAGGCGCATGTGTGCCATGCCCTGCCCGAGGGAGGCTGTGTGAGCAGTTGCCCAGCAACATCCCTGTGCCCACGAGGTGTGGTCCCTGCCCCTGTGTGGCCACCGGGCTGCTCTGGTTCTAGCGGCCCCACCGAGGGGGCCCCTGCTCCAGCAATCCTCCATGTGAACCGGCCGGGGTCCTGACTGTCCAGTGGTAAATTCAGATGATGGTAGCCCTAGCCAGCCTGTGAGACAGAACTTTCCAGCACACCCTGGCCCACAGGGTCCAGGAGAGGCGTGGGTGGACACCAGGCAGAGGTGCACGTGGACAAGACGGTGTGACCTTGACTCCCCCTTGGGGGCTAGACTCCCGGGCAGCGGGGATTCCTCCTCTCACCCTGGTGGACTTTGGGGCAGGTCACTCTCGGGGGGACATCCTGGGTGCTGTGGGGGGGGTCAAGCAGTCTCCCTGGCCCCACCCACCCAATCATGATGGCCACAGACCTCCCACGACGTGGCCGCGTGGCCCCTGGGTGAGTGCCTGCAGGGAGAGGGTTTTGGGCACTGTGGGCTGCGGCAGGGCCCCCGATCACGCATGTTCTGTATGTGTTTTCTGTTGGGAAGGCGGCGGCAGCCCTGTGACCTTTCGCGAGCAGAAGGTTTTAAGGTTCTGACTGTCGATCCTGGCAGTTCCTGCAGGAGAACAGCTTGTCCACAGAAAAACTGATAATACCACGCATTTCCACACGCCTGGGACAGACCTGAAGCGGGAGCCGAGCCGGGGGAGAGCAGCGGCTCGGTGGGGCGGGCGGGCTGGACTTTGCTCCACAGGAGAGCAACACTCTGCTGGTGAAGGTCACGGAGCTCTTCTGCACACTCTGCCGGGAGCAAGACTCCTGGAAAGTGCATGTCCTCCCCCTCCCCCGGCACCAGGGACGTGCGGGGCGGGCCACTTTGCATCCCTGGCCCCACCGGCTCGGAGCTGCCCCTGCCGTATGACGACCACAGATGTCCCCGGATGCCGCCCAGTGTCCCCAGGGGGGCAGCATCGCCCTCAGTGAAGAATCACAGATGTAACCTGACGTACGCAGAATCTCATTTTCCCGGTGGCCCATTTCAGGGGCTCAGGGCTCGTGCCCACCGTGCTGGAAATCGCAGCTCTGGGCACCGGATTCAGCTCAAAGACAATGTCTCATCCCCGTGGCTAGCACCGCGAGGGCCGGAACACCGAGCCCAGGTGACTCCCAGGGGGAAAGGCCAGTGCCCTCGGGGGACGGGGCGTCTGAGCTGTCCTGGGCAGCTGCCAGGCTGGAGGAGCACTGGCTGGCTGTTCCAGGAGGCGAGCATCGCCCCCCCGAGCTTCCAGGCAGCGGGAAGACCCACTGAGTGGCCAAGATCCCCGTTATAGACACAATGTGACAGAAGCCATTAGGGCATGGTCCTCGTCCTGCCCCCAGGGGACCACGGGCCAAGTCTGGGGACATCTGTGGTTGTTTTCACCATGGAGGGAGGAGGTCCTGGCGGCGAGTGGGTGGGGCTGACAGGGCCACCCCCCCACCAGCAACGCGGGACACAGACCCCAGAGAGTGACCGGCCTGATGTCAGCAGAGCTGAGGCGGGGGAACTCGCAGTGGGCCCCCAGTCCCTGCTAGGACGTCAGCTCTGCGGGAGCCAAGGGTTTCACCTGTTCTGGTCACTGCCTGGGCCACAGGCCTGGCCCAGGCACTCACCCAGAAACCCCTGCTGAGGGGGGAGCAAAGTCTGTGGGAGGGCGTCCCTGTGCCCAGGCAGCGAGCTCCCAGGTGACTGCACGAGAAAGTGTGACAGGGACCGACACTAGGCCACACGGCCAGAGTCCACGCCCTAGAGACCCGGGGGGGCTTCTGAGGACTGGTGCTGTCCAGGTAAGCCCCGAAGGAAGGGCAGTGTGGGGCGGGAGCCAGCAGCCGCTGCCCCAGAAGAGGGAGGAGGGAAGGCTCCAGAAGCAAGACTCAGTCTTCGAGGTGGGGCTGGGGTGGCCAGGCTGCCCCGCCCCCCATCCCAGGCCTTCGCTTCTGTGCCACGGCCTCTGCTCTGACCACAGGGCCGCGCCCAGGTCCAGGTCCCCTGCGCCCCCAAGGTCGAAAAGTCAGCACTTCCCTCCACCCAGTGGAAGGGGCCAGCCATCAGATGCTGGTCCCAATCGGGGAGGTTTGGGATCTGTAGGGGGGAGGTGTGAAGAGGCCTGGGAGAGGGTGACCAGGGGACTCTCGGGGCTGAAACATCCTGGAGGACGGGGCGGGGTAGTCACGGCCCTCCAGGACTGACCATCAGACGGCTGGAAACACCCCAGGCCCGCCCGCCCCTGCCGGCCCCTCCTGGCCCCTGCCTGCACCTGCCCCACCCCCACGCACACCCGGCTCAAGCCCGGCCCGCGGGCCTTCTCTGCCCCCTCGTGGCCGCCAGGGGGAACGGCAGCACCCGGGCCGGAAACCCCTGCACTATACCCCGGGAGCCAACGCCCCCAAACTCCTGCTCACCATTTGGCTCTGGCATGTGCCGGCCGGCTGCTTCTGCCACCGGGGCAGGCGGCATTGGCCTTCACTCAGCGACACCCGGCTGCTTGAAGGTGGGATACCCTGTGCGGGCTCTGCTTGTCTGTCCGCCACAGATGCCTCCCGTGGCGCCTGACAAGCAGGAGGTGGTCCGCGAGGGACCAGTGAGCTACAGCGGAGCCAGGAAAAGCCTGGTATTCGCCCTCCGAGGAGTCCCTGCCAGAGATCCCCTGCCAGGCCTGCCCACTGCGTGTCCCTCCACCAGCGCCTGCCCCTCGCCACACTGCACAGCGTCCCCCACCCCAGCCCGCACGGCGTGGGGTCAGACCCATCAGTGAGTCCTGTTCGGAGACTGGACTGTAAGAGACGCCATCCGAACAAAACACAGGTGAGTCGCTCTCTAGCTTCTTGAAATTTGGGGGACATCAAAGAAAGCCCAAAGGCGAGTGCCAGTGTCCTCGGTCGGTAGGAGAAAGCCCCCGGCGAGGACAGGGGAGTGACCGGCTCAGAGAAGTATCCACAGCGGGGGGACGGACACCAGCCCGAGTCCACGCAGAGAAAGACCGAGAGTTCAAACACCATGTGGAAGAGCTGACGAAGGTCGCCGATGACGGGGACAGACCCACACCGGGGCGGTCCGCGAGGGCGCCTGCTTACCGAAGGCACGGCTGGGGGGATGCAGAAATCCCGCAGCCTGACCAGCAGCACTGGACGTGCCCAGCTGCTCAGACAGCGGGGAGACGGCCCTGGAGACCGGGCACTTGCAGAGGGCAAGCGGCTGTCGGAAGGGGAACCAGGGCACCCCGATTCTCTCCCTCTCTCACACGCACGGCAAACCTACGTGCGGAGTTCACCCCCGACGACAGCCGGCCCAGCACGCACAACGTTTGCGTGAACACATTCATCACAGAATGTAAAAAGAGAGAGAAAAACAGGAAAATAAACACCCCCACAAACCAATTAAATCCACTGTAAAATTATTTTAAAAGGAGTGACGAACCATTTGCCTGTGATGTGAAATGCCGAGCCGGCATCAGGAGAGGTGAGGGAAACGCAGGCTTCCTGACAAGGAAAGCGGCCCCGCAGGCAGAAGGAGCACGTTAAAGAGCAAATCCTGTTCATCCAGAATCGCGCGTGTGGACGGAACTCACAGAAGGAGGGGGGAAAACACTCACCATGACACTGGCACGCCGTCACCAGCGGGGGCTCTAGCGGCCTTGCTTCTCCTTTGCCAGCATTGTCCCTTCTACAGGACGTCCGTCCACCTCCACCCAGCGGCTGCTGGCAGTCTCCAGACACCCCTCTGTCTGGCAACTCTGACACGGACGCCACACGGAAGGTCATCTGTAGGGGACCCGCTGGGTACCCACACGTCACACCCAGCCCGGGGCTCCCATCCTGGCTCCTGGCCTCTGTCCCCAAGGATGGCGTCTCTCCTGAGCGAAGCCAAACCACATCCTCTGTGCCTTACTGAGGCGCACGTGATGGGCCCTAGAACCCGCCCGCTGGGCGCACACAAGGCCAGGAGTCCCTGGCGAGGGCACCAGCCACCCCCCCGCCACGCAGTTCACAGTGCACACCCACAGCAAGTCCCGATTCCCCCCTCAGGCCCTGGTGGCCAGCAAGCACCTTCCCGTCCCTGCAGACGGGCCTTTTCTAGAAACTGCACAGAGAAAGACCTACGGGATGCGCTTCTCCAGGGTCTGCCTCCTCTTCTAACGTTTTCTCATTTAAACACGCGCACACACAGTTTGGGAACGTCCAGCATTATAAAGACACCCGTCCAACATTCCAATGTCCCTCAAATGTGCCGGTGAATGAAACACAACAGCGATCCAAGCTCCGTCAGAGCTCCTGCTGGACACCCAAGTTCACTCTGAAGACCACCAGACAGAGAACACCGCACAGCAGTGGCAGAGCCCTTCGGGGCAGGCGGAAGGGGAGCCTGGGGCCACCGCAGGCCGCTGTAGCCTCCCTCGGCTCAGTGAAGGGTAAAAGCCACTCAACACCCATGGGGCATGAGACCAACAGCCGGCCCGAACTCAAGAGAGCAGGATCTCAGCGCAGAGGCCTCCTGAGGCCACGCAGTGCCTCCCAGTCCCCAGGACGGGCACCAGGTTTGAGGGCCGCGTCACGTCTGGGGACTTGACTCTGCTCCTGGCAGTGGCTCGGGACGGGCCACCTTCCACACCAAACCAACCCCCTCCCTCTCGCCCAGGCCCAGGACGGCCAGCCGAACCCGTGTTCAAGCCGGACGGCGGAGAAGGAAACATCACACACTGACCTGTGCCCGGGGCTGAGCTGTCTTCACCGCCGAGGCTCGGGAACCGCACGTCCGCTCCCTGGAAGAAAAACGGAGCCCTTCAGTGGGGTATCATCTGCTCCAACACACGTGTCCCCCCGGGGCGGCAACGAACAAGGGTCTCGCACTCAAGGTCAGACTGCCCTAAAGACCCCTCTGGGGGGCCTGTCTTTCGGCTGCCCTGCCAGCCTCGGGGCCAGGCCTCCTGGCGTAGAAGTGGGACGTAAGAAGGCAACTTGCCAGAAAGGTCTGTGAGAAGTTTGCAAGGTCGTCCCTGCTGAATTTTCCAAAAGCTCCAAACTCAGTGGATGGAAGGGTTGAGTGATCACGTGACCTTTGGCGCTCTGTAAAGCTGTTGGGCCACATCGCTTGACCCTCACGGTCACTCTGCCAGGAAGAGGTGGGAACGGAGTCAAGCCCCACCCCAGGGCACCCCCTAAGTCACCGGGGTCGGCCTAAGGAGGCCCGAGGAGCAAATGCAAGGTGGGGTCCGGGACGGGGTCCCAGGGCAGGAGAAGGACACTGGGAGCAAACCGCTGAAAGCGAGCGGAGTGGAGCTGGGTCTGTGGGTGCGCGGTCGCCACAAACGCACCGTGGGTCGGAAGGCGCGGCCACACGGGGCAGACTGGGCAGTGGGCAGACAGGAGCTCTCTTTGAAACTCCCCTGAAAATCTAAAGTCATTTTAAAATTAAAATGTCACTTAAAAATAACTCAATTCTGGGGCACCCGGGTGGCGCAGTCCGTGAAGCCGCGGAGTCTCGGCTCCAGATCAGGTCATGACCTTGGGGTCGTGGGACTGAGTCCCGCGTCAGGCTCTGCGCTCAGACAGGAGTCGGCTTAGAACTCTCTCTCTCCCTCTGCCCCTTCCCCACGCGCTCTCTCTCTCTCACATAAATAAATATATTTTTTAAAACAACTCAGGGCGAAGATTTAAAGGCTGGTTCCCTTTCCAGGAGTCCAGGCCACTCTGTCGTCAACCGGGGCCGGGACGGAGAACTGAAATCCCCACTGTCGCCTGCAGGTGGCGCTAGGGGCTCAGAAACACTTCGGTCCGTGGGCACGGCGGCTGCAGCCCTAAGCTCGTGGGGCCAGGAGGCTGCTGCCGCCTGCCAGAGGCCCTGCCAGAGGCCCTGCCAGAGGGCGTCCTGCATGGCCAGTGCCCGCCCCCCCCCGACCCTGCCCCTGGACCCCGGAGGCTGAGACTTGCCTCAGCCCTGCAGGGGCCATCTATGCACGTGACCCTCAAGTTTTTATTTCTCAGTCAATTAAAGACACAAGACGTTGCAAACCTAGTGCAGAAGGGGTGCCGGGCACCCTGCGCCCAGCTGCACCCAGGGTGACTCATTGCACAACCAGGGGACGCTGACGCGACCGGCCAAGGGATAGGCAAGCATGGTTTTCTAGACCGTCTTACTGAGACAGGCTTCTCCCCCTGCACAGAGGCTGCACAATAAAGTGCTTTTTAGTATTTTCGGAGTTCTGCGACCATCATCGCTAGCCACTTCAGGGCTTTCCATCATCCCCAAAGCAACCCTGTCCCTCAGCCGTCACCCACCAGCCTCCCCTAAGCCCCGGCCCCCGTGAGCCCCCTTCCTGTCCATGAAGGAGCCTGGTCTGGATGTGTCACATGCGTGGACTCACACCCCATGGGGCCTTCTGTGTCTGGTTCCCTCCCTGAGCGCCGTGGGCTCAGGGTCTAACCCGGAGCAGTGCATGGGGGATACATTACTGACGGGACACTTGGGTGTCCCCACCTCCTGGCGCTGTGAACATGGTGGCATGAATCCTAAGCCTTCTCATGTACCCCCTGCAAACCTCCCACCCTCAGCCCCGGAACACCAGCCCCGCACTTGAACTTGAACACACGGGTGCCCACGCAGATGCCCCCACCTTGGCTGCGCTTGGCCCAGGCCAGCGTGAGCAACGCACCCCTGCAGCTCTGACCTGGGGCCCACGAGACTGCAGGCCGTGAGATGCACCTGCTGGTGCCGGCCGTGCCTGTGACCTTCACCCAGGCCAAAGTGCTGGACTTTCACTCTCCCACCACAGGGAACCACAAGCCCTCCGGGACGGCCAGCAGCGGGACGAGGAGCTGGGACCCCGCAGCAGGACCTGCTTCGGAATGTGCAGAGCTGGCAGCCAAGTGAAACGGAGATCCCTTGTTCAAAAATTAGTGCCAAACATGAAGAGAATGACGGCAGAGCCTGCCGACCTCACGCAGACCCCAGCCCGAGGCACGGCCGGGGAGGTGCAGGACGCAGACCTCAGGCACACAGAGGAAGCTCTGGAGGAAAGGGCCCGGTGCCAAGGGAGAGATATATCACACCTGGAAACAGGTAGTTTCCAACGGTGGCCGTCGGGGTGGCCGCGTCGGAAGGAACTTTGTCCTGGACAGCACTTTACAACCTGGGACCTTCCTCTTGTCCACACGCTTCCTTCTCTTTTCCTCTCTTTTCCATGGAGATCGAACTCACCAACATGACCTCCATTCACCCTTTTCAAGTGCCCAATTCAGTGGCTTTTAGGATATCTGCAAGGTCGTGCGGAGGGTGGTGCAGCGGGTTCTGCACTAACCCCAGGATACCGTCTCCAGCCCCCGAGGAGCCCCCGGGCCCGCTAGCATCGCCAGCATTGCGGGGTCTGGTCCAGCGTCCCGGGAGAGGCGAGACCCCGCCGTGCAGGGGCCACACCTGTTCTGCCGGCCGCCACGCTTCACCGCACCCCTTGAACACAGCACGTGTGCCGTGACCCCAGGGTTTCCTGACTCCCGGTCGGTGCTGAGGGAAGGCCTGCAGAGCCAGGGGAGCCGGGGGAGATCAGGCGGCCCCCACAGAGCCCGGTGACATGGACCAGGTCCCCCCAGGGCTCACCTATGACATGGGAGAGACCGGAACCCTGCCTCAGGCCGTGGGACCCACGCAGGGGCCGGTGAGTGCAGGCGTGGCTGGATCGAGTCTCGTCACGCAGCCGTGCTCTTGGTGACATCCTCTGTCAATGGCAGAGGGAAAACGAGGCACGCGGATCACAAGCCCAGGGTGCTCCCGGAGAGCTCCCACCAGTAACTTCCTGGTGGTTTCTACTGCCTGTGTTGTTCTGGAGCCTCTGAACGGTGAGTGGGGGACATGGGCAGCGGGACCCTTAGCTGCTAGAGACGTGAAACTGTCGGAAGCAGGGCCGAGAACCAGAAGCGAGGGGAGATAACAGGGCAGCCCCTGAGCTAGGAGTTGCGCTGGGCTGCACCCCTCAGAGCCCATCGTCAGCATCTCAGGGTTATGGGACCGAGGACCCAGCCCCAGCCGGCACAGGACGGCTCCTCTGGGAGGAAGGCATGTCGCAACCCACTTCGCTCCATCAGAGCTCGACCAGAGGGACTTTTCCAGAGCACTGGCGCAGCCCTGCTGTGTGCAAACGCTACTGTCCCTCCCTCTAGAATTCAGGGTTCCCTCCATGCCCTGGTGGGTCATTCTCTGGGCGGGGAGGGGCATCCTGGTCGCCGTGGGGGGACTGAGCAGCCCGTCTCACCCGCTCAATGCCAGGACAACCCCTGTCACATGACCACAGAGCCCCTTCAGGGAAGGAGGAGGAGCTCTGCTCAACAGCCTGCACAACTTCCGGAAGCTTCTATGTGAGGTTCTGTGCCCAGCTGGACACAGTAGCTCCTGAGCCGCTGCCCCCTCTGGGGGCCCTGTCCCCCCTTGGGGGATAAATCCCTTTTTGGGTAGAACCCTGTTCTGTGTCCCGGGCAGGGCACGGTGGGGCAAAGACTGTGCAGGAATGTCACCTAGGACTTGGGTTAACGCTCACGGACACGTATCAATATTGGCTCATCGATGACAACAAAGCGGCCACACTATTCAAGTCAGCCAAGGGGAGAAGTGGAGGGGGTGTGGGCTGTGCGGGAACTCACTTTTCCTCTCGGTTTTTCCATAAACCTAACGCTACACTAAAAAGCAGTCTATTAAGAGAGGGTCTTGAAGACACAAATTAGAATTCCGGTTTTAGAAAGGAGGAAGGGAGCGGGAGGGGAGAGGGAGCCCATCTCAGACCAGATGACCGCTGAGCGCTCACACGTCCCCAGGGATCCCTCCGACGAGCCCTTAGAGCCAGACCTGGAGAGAAGGTGGGTCAGTCCCGGCCAAACACATTTCCTACTATTTCCCCCAAAGCTCTTTCGAGGGTTGTTAACGATACAGGATACAGTTTGGGGAGGATCAGCCTGGATTAACCTCCACCAGCCCCTTTGCGCCCCAGGCCGGGGACCAGAGTGGATCAGAGCCCTAATACAATCAGTCCCGGCACCGCCCTCGGATTACTCCCAAATCCCATTTGGCCAACCTAGAACATATTGTGGCCGGTGATGAGCCGATGTCTACGTCTACAAGCTGCACCAAGCAGACATCGCCATCCAGCACACCCAGCGGCCCCGACACCCTAAGGGGCTAATGCCAGGCCGTGACACCGACGGGCCCGCCGTCAGCACTGACTCACCGGACGTCTTCTCCCAGACGTCCACTCGGCCGTCGCAGGTTTCTAAGCGTGAGCACTGAGCAGCCCGGGACTTTTCATTTTCTTGTTTCCCCAGCATCTATCGGCCCGGTCATGTGGGGGGACACAGGACCCCAGTGGGACACGAGAACTTCAGCGAGGGGGAAGCTGCCTAACAACAGGGCTGAGAAAATGAAATCCTTGGGATTTCACGAATTATCACAACATAAAGGGCGGCATCGAGTTTCTGAAACTGAACAAAGCCACTGCCTTTACCTCCTTCCCTCCGAAGCAGGGTCTCTCCTTCCCCCTGCAGCACGGCTAACCCTCTGTGGGGCCTCCCAGGCGCTGTGGGGGGCATTGAGCAGCACCCCACGAGCCTGCTGGCTCAAGGCCGAGAGCACCCCAGTCGTGAGGAGCTCCATGTCCCCAGGCGGCCCCCATAGCCCCCTGTTGAGATGGGCTGTGCGGACCCTGCAGAGGCAGAAGGCAGAGGGCAGATCTCCCCCTGCTTGGGATACAGTTCACTTGTCTGGGAAATGAGTGGGTGGGAG